CTCAGAGGCAAGAAAAATTATAATTCAATTTTTAAAAAGCAGCAGCAACCTGAAATTGGTGCATGCTGCCTAGTTCTAGATAAAGCGACAGCAGTTAAACCACAGTTGAAACCCCAAAGAGAGGATGGCTGAGAAATAGAAGCATATCCAAAAAAACTTGCAGCATTCTCTTTTCATATTACATAAATGAGGTATGACTGCAATCATAGTCACTGAAAACATGACACTGAAGTGACTTCCTTTCCCCCTTTCTTTGAAAAACCTAATCTCCTTCTTCTAGTTGCTCATTGTGGAAGGTGGATGTCTGCAGTGCATTGCATTAATATTCAAGGTAATCCTTATTACAACTACCAAAAAATCCTCAGATACAGAGAAAAATTAAAAGAGAGGTTTCCAGAAAACTAGTCAAAATGCAACCCAGCAAGGGAAAAGGGAATGGGATTTAATAATGTCTGACAGTTCTGTTTGAACTTGTCTTACGTGTAGTAAGGAGTAATGGGCCAGACCTTCAACTAGTGTGAACTGGCATTTTTCCATTCAAGTCAGTGGAGTTAGAACAGCTAAGGATTGGCCCAATATTTTTGTTCTGTAAATTCCTAAAGAAATATCAGTATTGTATCAGACTGCCTTTATTATTAACCATATTTTTCAATGAGAAGCTGGTTATGAAGCAGGGCTCTGAGGTGAGAGACTTCCTGTGAGGGATTTGACATATGTGGTTGGCCTTCACTGCAATAAAACACCCACAGCTGGCCAATGTTAGCTGACTGAGGGTTGGGCTGTGGAGCTATAAAATAGTGTAGACATTATTCAGGCTGGAGCCTGGGCTCTGAAACCCTTCTCCCTCATGGGGTCCCAGAGCCCAAATGTCTTGGTGCCATCCCTTGATATGAGGATGATGTCTGTCAGGGACCCTGTTGATGAGACTTAAGATGGCTGAGGAATCCAACCAATCCATGATCTACAGGTTTTTCCAGGATTGTGCCTAGTGATTGGCGAGAGCACAATTGCTGCCCGGGATGCTACACACTTTCTTTCCTCCTCCATTGTTTCTCAGCCTTTTGAGGAAGGCAATTCTCTTCAAAACAGGCTGAAGGTTGATATGTGATGTGATGCTCTTGCAGTCTATTGCCAGTTCTTAACAATTTGTAGGGTCCTTGCCTCGCTTCTGAAGATATACTTTCATGCTATCTTCATAGTGTTTTCTCTGTGGGCACTCTTAGCATAAATAAGTTGAGAAAAGAAGACTTGTTTTTGGAGATGAGTATCAGCCATCCACACACAATGGCCCGCCCACCAAAACTGATGTTCATAGTCTTTGCCTCAAAACAGGTGATATTAGCTGCAGAGAGAATGCTGGAATTGGTGCAATTGTCTTCCCATCTGATACGGAGAATCTTCCTAAAACAGCAGTGTTAATACCACTCTGGACATTAAAGATGTATATCACCCAGTCTCATACCCATAAAGGAGAGTGGGGATGACTACTGCATTGTAGACCTGGATCTTAGTTTCCATTTGCAGATCACTGCCAA